CCCCCCCCGGGTCTGCTTGCTACCTTGGCCGAACAGGTGGAGGGGGAAGATGAATGATGATGATGATGAATTAACTATGGGGGTTACAAAATGGAAAAATGATGTGAATGGGAAGAGTGTGGGTTTATATTAAAATGGAGTAATGAAGAATAATGATGATGAATGAATGTGGGGAGAGGAATGTGGAGTTATGGAAAAATTAAAGGGTGTGGCGTGAGGAATGATTAAATGGGGAGTTACAAATATTCATTTACTCCGTTATGTAAAAATCTGACCTGAACAGTACGCGGTTTTCCCCCTGAACGGGTCCGAATTGAGATCCGTTTGTGTTTCCGGAATCAGAGAGTCAAAACAAATTTAATGACATGTTCAAATAATTTTTCTAAGAACTTTATTTCCAAACTTCCGGATCCACCCCAATCATTAATTAATTTATTTAATTTATGTTGAGGGGTCCATTATTAAAACATCTTTTACAATTAAAGTACATTAGCATTGGAAAGCCATTTAATGAGATCGAAATCTCAATATTTATTAATTTAAAATAATGATTCTCAATAAATAAATAATATTTATTTATTTAAAACTAGGCCGATTTGAGGGCGTTACAAGCCCAGAAACTACTTCTGGCTAATCTCAAGGCTACCTACTTCTTCATCCTTCTAAACGGTAGTCCTATTGGTTTCTTTAAAAGTCTGAGGGGCATTAAACAGGGAGATCCTTTATCACCTCTCCTTTTCATTCTAGCTAGTGAAGGACTTACTAGGATGCTAAACCATTCAATGGCTACCTCCTACCTCCACAACCTAACACTGGCAGGAATCTACTAGTGAGTCACTTGGGTTTTGCAGATGATATTATCATTTTTTGTAATGGAGACACTAGTGTTGGGAAAAATATTATAGATTTTGATGATGAAGTATTTAGATTGTAATAGGGACTTTAGGTCTCCCCCAATATTCAATGTAATTTTTCTTTGTAGAAATATTGTTAAAATCGAGTTCTTAAGATTTCCAATAAAGTTGTGATATTTCACTCTGTGGTTTGATGTCAATGTTTGAAGACTTAATCAAATTCAGTGATACGGAAATTGGATATCTTGATCGGATATGTCAGAGACAAGTAAGGAATTCTCAAAGTAGTTGATTACTTTAAAAATCCTCTAATCCGGAACACTACATGATAATCGGATGTCTCGCTACAACCCGCTGAAGGCTAAGTTATCCAGATCAGAAGACTAGCACGGATCTCTTTCTCACCCGGAAGTCTGTGAATGACTTTTCCGGAATCGTCAGCAAAGAACCGGATGCCTCAAGAAAGACCGGAATTCTCAGAAGCGGACAAGTGAGAAAAAGACTTAGAAAAATTCTAAGTCTTGAATGAAGAAATTCTACCCGTTGGTAAGGAAAAATCAATCTCTTGATTTTCAACGGCTAGATTGAGGATATTGAAGATGATTCAAGAACAAATGACTTGAAGACAAAGTCTGGACTTCTCAAATTAAAGAGCTCGCCCTGAATTCCTAAACAAGCACTAGAAGACAAACTGAGTACTCCACTCATTAAAGAGCTACAGTCCAGAATTCTTGAACAATAGCTAGAAGACGGATTCTGTGGAAAAAGGAATCTCTCCTCAAACAACTGGGTATGTCCAAACACCCATTCCAATGAGGAATCCTCAATCACAATCTTCATTCAAAATTGAAGCCAGCAAATGCAACGGATAGTCTATTTTGATTCAACGGATAGATTACCCAATCCAGCTATAAATAGCATCCTTGGAAGACTGGAGAAGACATGAGATAGAAATCACGAAATACATACAACGAAGAAAACTACAACAAAGCTATCTCATTCACAGTTAGCCAAAAAGCTTGATAAAGAGAGATTTCTAAACTCCTTATCCAGAAGCAAACTTCTCCTCCTTCCAAAGAGCTATAGTGTAAACACTTGAAGGTTTCCTTGCCTCAAGTACCACACCACGTTGAAGGATACAACTTTTAATCAAACTTCTTGATTAAAAAAGGGGAAAATCAACTTTCTTACAAGTTGATCTTGCAAGTCCTATTGTTCGGATCTTGCAGTTGTTTAAGAAGCTTGACCTTCGAAGGAACAACAAAGCCAACACGAGTGCAATAGCAACATTGGCCTTGCGAAGATATACCGTGTAGAAATTCACACAAGTGTAATTGTTGGTTCATTATTCAACAACCAACTACATAGTGGATTTTGAGGACGTAGAAGGATTACCCCACCTTCGAACCTCGTTAAAGTTTGCGTGTCTCTCTCTTTTATCTTTACTTATACTTGCAATTATATTAACTGTGAAAACTAACTTATCCATATTGATTACTGCTCAATTACCCACCAACTTCCGCACACAATCTAAGGTTCACAAGAACTCTAGATTAAACACTCATTTTCGCGTTTTCAAAAGAAACGAAAAAGTCTTTAATTTGTAACAAAGTCTATTCACCCCCCCCCCTCTAGACTTTGTATCTCACCACTTTGGGACCACCAACTAGAAACCTACAAAAACTTAGCAAAGTGCTAAAAATCTACCTTGAAGCATCTGGGCAGGAGATAAACTTCTCTAAGAGTAGATTTTACTGTGGGAAATCCAACAGCCAAGCAGATATTCATAAGAAAGAAAAGATTCTTCAGATGTCCCACAACTCTCTTCCCTTCAAATATCTAGGAGCACCCATTTGTCAGGGTGAACTCAAGAAAGAACATTGCTCAGACCTCATCAATCACTTTGATAAATACATCAATACCTGGTTCAGTAAAACCCTAAGCACCATGGGAGACCAAATTACCACTGGAAAACCTGAGAAACTCTCTGCCTACCTCAATCAGAAGGGGGACTAGGGTTGCGAAACTTAAGAGAAGTGCAGGATGCTTAGTCCCTAAAACTATGGTGGAATTTCCATTATAGTGATAATAATTGGGCAGAGTTCATGAGACAGAAGTATGGAACTTACAACTATGAAGAGAAGCTTCATGAGACAGAAGTATGGAACTTACAACTATGAAGAGAAGCTTACTGACTCCCTTACCAGAAAGAGAATTTGCAGAATACACCTCTGGCTTGCGAACATCTTACAGAAGCTAATCAGAACAAAGACAATGAGGAGGCTCAAATCTTTTCTATAAAGAAGGCTTACAACATCTGTAGAAAGAAAGAGGCAATACAACTCAGCAACCAGTTTAACTGGGACAATCATCAAATCCCTAAGATCCAACTATTTCTATGGAAAGTGAACTACAACATCCTCCAATTTCCTAAAAAACACAGCCTTTTCCTCACCTGCTACCCTTCTAGATGCCCTTTCTGTAAAAATAAGGAAGCTTCTCTAAACCACTGCCGCCTCCACTACGAAAGTATTAATAATATTTGGCGTCATCTTGCATACCTCTTGGATGGTCCACAAGCTAGAGAGAATATTACACTCAAACAACACCTCCTGGAATGGAATCTGCTCTCTAATTCTTCATCCCTTAAAGGTAACCTTCGATTGGTAGTTCCTCGAATCATTGGATGGAATATTTGGAAACAATACACAGCCTCACACTTCGGCAACGAACCCTTCATTCTGCAAGTAATCGAAAACAACATCAAACATACAATTCAATTGTAACACCCCAATCCGTATAACCCAGAATTACACGAATTCAGGTGAAACGAGAGTTAAATAAAAATTTCGCTTGACATTTGAAAATGACAATTACTTATAAATATCAAATTTACAGACTCTGGATCACGACCCATTTAAAAATATTTTCAGAGTAATGCGAAAGTACAATAATAATCAAATCATGACACATTTTAAAATCTGATGATCAAACATTTGCCTGCCATCCTTGCATCTCCTCTGACTCAATGCCCTTCGGGAGTGGTTCCATCATTGTCTTCTTATTACCTACGTGTAGTCAACGAAAAATACAAACTACACGCTCAGCGAAACCGCTGAGTGGTACCACGCTAGAATTATAGAATAATTCACAGACATATACATATACATATATATACGTCCACAAAATGTATAGTAACATTCATGATATGGCACATATTATCATATGGTAAATTTGATGAATCATGATGATAAATATTTAATGACAATTTCATGATGGCACATTTAATCAATTTACTTGTGAGGATGATTACATTATACCTATGTAATCAATATACTTTTTCTTGATGATGATTACATGACACCTATGTAATCAATGTAATTGTACTTGATGATGACAACATGATGCATGATCCTGTAACTTGCAAGGACACCCTTGCGCTATGAGATTCGCCCATTTGGTACGACGAACTCACGCGGCCTTAGTCTCACGAATGAGGTGAGACTAGAAAATAGGGGTGGTACCCGGAGACTTGAATACAATGTACGTACACTAAGCCCGAACTTGTGATGTCGGACTACTAAGTCCCGCACAATAACGCTATAAGAGACGCAATTACGCATGATCTCTTACACATGCACATGATGTGATATGCTTCAATATAAATGTTGAAATGAATGACATGATGTGAACAATTTGCAAACAATATGAATATATAATCATGCTTTAGTTTAATTGTATGAAACATGATTAAAATATCATTTAATAAAACTACTGGGCTCGGAGCGGTCGACCGTTTGGTGCGACGGTCGACCTTGATCTTCATCAGGTCGGATTGGCGATTCACCGTGAAGATCGATCGTGGTTGATCGGCGGTCAACCGTTGTTGACTGGCTGCGAATGGCGGACTTCGGTTTGACGGGCGGCGGTCGACCGTCAGCCACCAGCGGTCGACTGTTTGGCTGACAGTCTTGGTTCATTTCAAAGTTTAATACGACGGTCGACCGTTTGGGTCTGCAAATCTATCTCTTGATATTTTGAGTGTCCAAAAATACTTCTTTAAGTCTTTTAAACACCTTTGATTAATATATACATATTTTTGGGTTGATTTCAAATGTTTATATATACTTCTGTATATATATATATATATATATATATATATATATTAACTTTATGATTTTGGTGTATTATGGTCTTAACACAAAGATGACTTATATATGCGTCACATATATATTTTGGAATGATTTCAACAAATGGATTAACATATATGTTCATGTACGCATGTGATGAATGATTCGACAAGTCTAACGCAAAGGTACAGACCTGGAAATCATCGGCCGAAACCTTATGGATGAGCGGGAGTGGAAACAACATCGAAATTTGCCAACTTTGTCATTTTCGTAACAACTGGACAGCATGCGGTATTTTGGGCATATCTCCATCGTTTCTTCACGGAATTGCAAACCGTTTGATTTTGTAGATTTCTAAGATGTAAGGCTATAACTTTCGTATAGAAAGTATTTCGTTTTAACAGATGTAAGATAGCATAAATTGGACCTGAAGTCAAGGGATAGTTGCTGTCCAGGATTTTGGATATGTCGATGAACAATGATTCCGACGATTAACTCCTTAATTTCAATATTCCAACGCCGAACCTTCTCTATGATACCTTCCGGATGTTCCTAATAATCGTTAGAGAGTTTATGGCAAGTATTTGGAATGAAACAACATGAATATGGTGAGGAAACATAGCCAATCCCGAGGAGCTCGCCACCACTGGCGCAGTCCCGGTATTTTGGCCATATCTCCTTCGTTTCTTAACGAAATCGCAAGTCGTTTGTTGGGATGGATTTGTATCGTCCGGGGCTACAACTATGGTTCAGAAAGTATTTCGAGATAATGAATAGAAAATTTCAGTTTTTACCTAGAAGTGGGCTGCTGCGTTTGAGCTCAGGATTTTAGAACTTTGGATGGTTTTCTTGCTTCTTCTTCTTCTTCCTTAGCATACAACCATGGAGTATTTTTGTGTTTTCTTCTTCCTTAGCTTGCTGCCGACAGAGAGAGGGAGAGGAGGAAAATGGAGTTGTGATGGTGGATGGTGATGATGATGTATAATGATGATGATGGTGGTGGAATTGTGTAGGAAAGGGTTGAGATTTGGAGTATTATGTAGATTTAATGTATTATTAAGTAGTGGAGAATAAATGGGGTGGCTAGTGGAGTGACTTACGTGATTGGGGAGGGATTTTAGAATATTAGTTTTGGAGTTTTGTTCAAACTGAACAGATTACACTAAACGGTACGCGTTTTTTCGCTCAAACTGCTCCGAATTGAAAACGAATTGCATTTTTAGAATCAGACTGTCAAAACTAGAATTTTGACATAATCAAAATATTTTTTTCTGAGAACTTTCATTTTTCTCAGTGTTCAAATCTGTCTCAGTCATAAATCAATTTAATAATATGAATGAGATAAAAATATACGAATTAAATCCAAATGATTAATATGATGTTATCAAGTGTCAAAAATTAAGATTTCTAATTTTATGAAATCACTTTTGAATTGAGTTTATTTTTATGGGTCAAAGTTACAAATTTTAATATTTAAAAATTGTCATAACTTGAAATTTATAAATCAGATGAATTCATAAAATATACTGTTTGATCCGTCTCTTCGAAACATATCCATAAAAATAAGTTTTTAACAAAAAGTCATTATTTTGAAAATCCATTTATTTTTGGTCAAACGTATAAATATTTCTGATTGGATAAAAATTACTTTTGTTTTATAATAAATTTTAGGCCATATTTCGTGGCGTTACATTTCTTTCCCCCTTAGAGAAATTTCGTCCTCGAAATTTCCTTAGGTGAGTCATTTAAAATGAAGATGTACAAAATCATTATTTCTGTAAAACACAAATTTTTAGAAGTTGTTTTTCTCTTTCCTTTGTTGAGTGTCATGAGTATGACATGTTCTCTTTTAAGAAAGATATATGTGGATGATGGATGTAACGTGTTTGGATTTCTTTTACGGAGGCTTGCGTCGAATATTCTCTTAGACTTGCTATTATCGCGTTGTAGGAGTTTTCCAAGAGTTCTTGTATGGATTGCGTTTCTTGAATGTGGAGTAACTTACAAAGTTTTTTTTATATCATTCTCGGACGACTTTGTCTGAATGTTGATTTGACAAATTACGCTTTGTTGTTTACAAGCTGGAATGAATTGTTTTACGTTTGACTTTTTTTACATGATCGTATTTTGTGGCATGACTTACCATAGCCATCATTCTAAGTTTTCTAGATGATAAGAAATTATAGTTTCAAAACTTGAACTCTCATTAGCGATCCTTAATGGGTTGTTCTGACTAACATGTTGCAATAAGCTTATTAGAGTTTTTTTTGTAACAGTTAAAACATATACCACACTTTCATATAACAATAATATTTTTTTTTATCACATTGTAATGATTGGATGAACGTTTTGATAGCACTTGCTATTTGTCACTATTTGTTTTATCAAGACGATAAGTAGTCATTCTTGAATACTGGTTTTCTGATTGATGATTCCAGAACTACTTTGGAATTTTAAACTTGCTCAAAAATTATGATAGAGTTTCATGCTCAAAAATTATAATATTAGTGTATTTGTCATATCACTAATATTCTTCACACAATAAAAAAAATTACTTATTATCAAAAACATTACAAGTTATACACATAGTCATATTCTAATATGATTGGGATTCTACTGATACATGCGTGGTTTTTGAAGATCGGTATCATAAAACATCTTTTTGGTTTGATGGAAAATTATGAGTTTAAACAAGTTCTTAATTATTATATTTTTTTAAAAAAAAAAGAATTCAATCTTTTCAATATTGATCAAATGAGATGCTTTAAGTGTGTGATTAACACAACAAGTTTTTGTATTTCAAGGATATAGGTCACATGATACGAATATAGCGTTTGTTAATTATCGTGGCAATTAGTAGGTTTTCATCCTTTAATGTTTCACTCTTTAGAAGTTACTTCAGAGGTCATTGTCTTAGGTAAATAACCATTTTGACTTTTCATCTCAGATTTGAATGTATTTCAGGATAATGGGCCTAACTATTCCCGAGTCTCAATATGTCATGTCGTCAGCAGACTGCAGTATTGGCGAGTACGTTCTTGTCTCGAGCGAATCCACTTTCCTGTACATTTTTAGGCTGATGATAATTACCTTTCCGTCAATGGTCAGTTTCAGAGTCTATATATATCGAATCGTAGCAAGAGTGTCTCACATTCTCACATTATAGAAGGAACTTTTCGAGCTCTTCCTAATACCATAAGATTCGTTGGTCTACTTGGTAGTCATGCTCTAGGTAGCAATCCAAGGTTCATGGCTACAACGGTTGATCTAGGACGTGAATTGGTAAGGCGAAAAATCAGGCTTACCTATGGAGGAGGCAATGTTGGCCTTCAAGGAGCTGTAGCTTCAAAAATCTATAATAATGGTGGTAGAGTCAGAGGTTTCATACCAGGGTATATAGCAACACGAGGGGTCTATGGACCAACATATGGTGCGGAGTACACCGTCTCCAGCAATTACTATAAGTATTTCGAGATGAATCATATTGTGGAAGCCTTCATTGTACTTCCTGGAGGAATTGACACTATGGAGGGTTTATTCACTTTGATCTCATGGGCTTCCGAAGGGTTACACAATAAACCTATTGGTCTTTTGAACATCCACGGTTATTTCAATAACCTAATCAAGTTTCTAGATGATGCGGTGAGGCAGAACTTCATGGCTTTGAATCAGAGGAAACTTTTTATTTCTTCTTTCTTGGTTGATGAGCTTTTAGACAAACTAGAAATTGCTAATGCTTTCCCAGGTGCTAGTTATGATGAGTTTGCAAATCCTGGAAGATTAGACTTAAAGTTGCATCTGTAATATTTCCAAGTTGAAATAATATTGTCCATGTACATTATGTATTAGTCATAAATATTGTTCTAAGCTGCATGACCAGTGCATTTCAGAAGAATATTTATTTCTAACATCAAAATGTACCATGTAAATATTAATCCTTTTCTTTATCTACCAGTCTCTCATTGTTGGTGTGACTGTTTCACATCTTGTTTTGTACTTTCATCTTGTTGCATCTTTTCGCGCCAATAGGGTATACGAACGAGTCAATCATCTTAATATTTGTATGTAGATTCACTCCTATAAGGCGTTTCAGATTCGATACATATGCCGTATTCGATCTGGTTTGTGAGGTTCTATTCGTGCTCTATAGAAAATGACAGATTTATCCTTTTGGAGAATTTGTTCACTTTCTATCGAAAAAGGTTCTTTCTTCAACGTATTCTTCGGCTTGATAGAAGTTGATTCACATCGTTCACTTAGTTATTCGCGTACTATGACATACGTATATGTCGTGTCTATCGGGTTTACAATCCCTCTTCTTGATCTTTTAATGTCGACTGTGATCGTCGAAAACATTATAAGGCAATCTATATTTTATTGCTATCGGGTCTATGAGGATACTAGCAACTCAAAGGAAGAAAATTTTCAATGAGTCCAGCATGTGTGTTATGCCATAGTAACTTACTTGTTGATTACCTTTCCGGGGCAGAGATGTTGCGGAGGATGCGGATGCAGGACTTAAAAATACTGACTCAATGATCCGAAAATCGTTTTGCTCTGATACCAAAATGTAACACCCCAATCCGTATAACCCGGAATTACACGAATTCAGGTGAAACGAGAGTTAAATAAAAATTTCGCTTGACATTTGAAAATGACAATTACTTATAAATATCAAATTTACAGACTCTGGATCACGACCCATTTAAAAATATTTTCAGAATAATGCAAAAGTACAATAATAATCAAATCATGACACATTTTAAAATCTGATGATCAAACATTTGCCTGCCATCCTTGCATCTCCTCTGACTCAATGCCCTCCGGGAGTGGTTCCATCATTGTCTTCTTATTACCTACGTGTAGTCAACGAAAAATACAAACTACACGCTCAGCGAAACCGCTGAGTGGTACCACGCTAGAATTATAGAATAATTCACAGACATATACATATACATATATATACGTCCACAAAATGTATAGTAACATTCATGATATGGCACATATTATCATATGGTAAATTTGATGAATCATGATGATAAATATTTAATGACAATTTCATGATGGCACATTTAATCAATTTACTTGTGAGGATGATTACATTATACCTATGTAATCAATATACTTTTTCTTGATGATGATTACATGACACCTATGTAATCAATGTAATTGTACTTGATGATGACAACATGATGCATGATCCTATAACTTGCAAGGACACCCTTGCGCTATGAGATTCGCCCATTTGGTACGACGAACTCACGCGGCCTTAGTCTCACGAATGAGGTGAGACTAGAAAATAGGGGTGGTACCCGGAGACCTGAATACCATGTACGTACACTAAGCCCGAACTTGTGATGTCGGACTACTAAGTCCCGCACAATCACGCTATAAGAGACGCAATTACGCATGATCTCTTACGCATGCACATGATGTGATATGCTTCAATATAAATGTTGAAATGAATGACATGATGTGAACAATTTGCAAACAATATGAATATATAATCATGCTTTAGTTTAATTGTATGAAACATGATTAAAATATCATTTAATAAAACTACTGGGCTCGGAGCGGTCGACCGTTTGGTGCGACGGTCGACCTTGATCTTCATCAGGTCGGATTGGCGATTCACCGTGACGATCGATCGTGGTTGATCGGCGGTCAACCGTTGTTGACTGGCTGCGGATGGCAGACTTCGGTTTGACGGGAGGCGGCCGACCGTCAGCCACCAGCGGTCGACTGTTTGGCTGACAGTCTTGGTTCGTTTCAAAGTTAAATACGACGGTCGACCGTTTGCGTCGACCGTTTGGGTCTGCGAATCTATCTCTTGATATTTTGAGTGTCCAAAAATACTTCTTTAAGTCTTTTAAACACCTTTGATTAATATATACATATTTTTGGGTTGATTTCAAATGTTTATATATACTTATGTATGTATATATATATATATATATATATATATATATATATATATTAACTTTATGATTTTGGTGTATTATGGTCTTAACACAAAGATGACATATATATGCGTCACATATATATTTTGGAATGATTTCAACAAATGGATTAACATATATGTTCATGTACGCATGTGATGAATGATTTGACAAGTCTAACGCAAAGGTACAGACCTGGAAATCATCGGCCGAAACCTTATGGATGAGCGGGAGTGGAAACAACATCGAAATTTGCCAACTTTGTCATTTTCGTAACAACTGGACAGCATGCGGTATTTTGGGCATATCTCCATCGTTTCTTCACGGAATTGCAAACCGTTTGATTTTGTAGATTTCTAAGATGTAAGGCTATAACTTTCGTATAGAAAGTATTTCGTTTTAACAGATGTAAGATAGCATAAATTGGACCTGAAGTCAAGGGATAGTTGCTGTCCAGGATTTTGGATATGTCGATGAACAATGATTCCGACGATTAACTCCTTAATTTCAATATTCCAACGCCGAACCTTCTCTACGATACCTTACGGATGTTCCTAATAATCGTTAGAGAGTTTATGGTAAGTATTTGGAATGAAACAACATGAATATGGTGAGGAAACATAGCCAATCCCGAGGAGCTCGCCACCACTGGCGCAGTCCTGGTATTTTGGCCATATCTCCTTCGTTTCTTAACGAAATCGCGAGCCGTTTGTTGGGATGGATTTGTATCGTCCGGGGCTACAACTATGGTTCAGAAAGTATTTCGAGAGAATGAATAGAAAATTTCAGTTTTTACCTAGAAGTGGGCTGCTGTGTTTGAGCTCAGGATTTTAGAACTTTGGATGGTTTTCTTGCTTCTTCTTCTTCTTCCTTAGCATACAACCATGGAGTATTTTTGTGTTTTCTTCTTCCTTAGCTTGCTGCCGACAGAGAGAGGGAGAAGAGGAAAATGGAGTTGTGATGGTGGATGGTGATGATGATGTATAATGATGATGATGGTGGTGGAATTGTGTAGGAAAGGGTTGAGATTTGGAGTATTATGTAGATTTAATGTATTATTAAGTAGTGGAGAATAAATGGGGTGGCTAGTGGAGTGACTTACGTGATTGGGGAGGGATTTTAGAATATTAGTTTTGGAGTTTTGTTCAAACTGAACAGATTACACTAAACGGTACGCGTTTTTTCGCTCAAACTGCTCCGAATTGAAAACGAATTGCATTTTTNCTTCTTCTTCTTCCTTAGCATACAACCATGGAGTATTTTTGTGTTTTCTTCTTCCTTAGCTTGCTGCCGACAGAGAGAGGGAGAGGAGGAAAATGGAGTTGTGATGGTGGATGGTGATGATGATGTATAATGATGATGATGGTGGTGGAATTGTGTAGGAAAGGGTTGAGATTTGGAGTATTATGTAGATTTAATGTATTATTAAGTAGTGGAGAATAAATGGGGTGGCTAGTGGAGTGACTTACGTGATTGGGGAGGGATTTTAGAATATTAGTTTTGGAGTTTTGTTCAAACTGAACAGATTACACTAAACGGTACGCGTTTTTTCGCTCAAACTGCTCCGAATTGAAAACGAATTGCATTTTTAGAATCAGACTGTCAAAACTAGAATTTTGACATAATCAAAATATTTTTTTCTGAGAACTTTTATTTTTCTCAGTGTTCAGATCTGTCTCAGTCATAAATCAATTTAATAATATGAATGAGATAATAATATACGAATTAAATCCAAATGATTAATATGATGTTATCAAGTGTCAAAAATTAAGATTTCTAATTTTATGAAATCACTTTTGAATTGAGTTTATTTTTATGGGTCAAAGTTACAAATTTTAATATTTAAAAATTGTCATAACTTGAAATTTATAAATCAGATGAATTCATAAAATATACTGTTTGATCTGTCTCTTCGAAACATATCCATAAAAATAAGTTTTTTAACAAAAAGTCATTATTTTGAAAATCCATTTATTTTTGGTCAAACGTATAAATATTTCTGATTGGACAAAAATTACTTTTGTTTTATAATAAATTTTAGGCCATATTTCGTGGCGTTACATCAATTTTGGTGTTGGAAATATCGACACAAAGGATGGATGATCCTCGACCCAGAACTCACCAAATTCGGAATTCAGAGCTTCGCTTTAGAGGGAAGGACGGGAAAGAAGATGCTGCAATTTGATTCATCGTTCTAGCCCCCCTCTTGATCTTTCCCCTTGTACTTGAAGTTTGTTTATTGTATATTGTTTCCTTTATCTCTTTTACCTTCGGAGCCTCGGTCTAGTCCTCTCCGAACATGTATGAATTTGCTTCTCTTTCTAATAAATCTTGTAAGGCTTCCCTGGACCTTACCCCACCGACTTTGGTGGTTCCTTCTGGGTTTATATATATATATATATATATATATATATATATATATATATATATATATATATAGGGGGCGGTTCAGGTGAGAATGCACCTTAGTGAAAGAAATAAGAATAAAATCTAGCCTTTGGATCTGATGCATCGTGCGCAAAGATTGCATCATGCACTCAGATTTTGAGATAGTGCATTTTTAAAGGATTTTGGTGCATTTCGACATGATGCATTTTCAAATCATTTTGGTGCATTTAATTTTGATGCAATCCTGACCCTTAGATCTCATAAGATCGCATTCTCACCTGAACCAAAATCTATATATATATATATATATATATATATATATATATATATATATATGTATGTATGTATGTATGTATATGTATATGTACATATATATATATGTATATGTATATGTATATGTATATGTATATGTATATGTATATATAGGGGCCGGTTCCCGTGAGAATGCACCTTGTGGAGAGAAATGAGAATAAGTATATATATATATATATATATATATATATATATATATGTATATGTATATGTATATGTATATGTATATGTATATGTATATGTATATGTATATATAGGGGCCGGTTCCCGTGAGAATGCACCTTGTGGAGAGAAATGAGAATAAAATCTAGCCGTCCGATTTGATGCATCGTGCGGCTCAGATTGCATCCTGCGCTCAGATTTTGAGATAGTGCATTTTCGAAGGTTTATGGTGCATTTCGACGTGATGCATTTTCGAACCATTTTGGTGCATCTAATTTTGATGAAATCATGACCCTTAGATCTCACAATCTAAAGCACCAGATTCATTCTCATTTCTCTCCTAAGATTGCATTCTCACCAGAACCAAAATCTGTATGTATATATATATATATATATATATATATATATATATATAGACACACACACACACACATATACATATATAGAAAGTTTTAATAAAAAAGAAGTGAAAGGAACAAAGGGGGGGTGGCCAACCCGACAATAGGCCAAAAGGAGATCCAATCCAACTAAAGGAATACATTAAGAAGCTGCCAAGCTACTAAACTCAAAAGGAGAACTTGATAATAACTAAAAATTAAGAAAGGACCTGGATTTAAAGCGCATGACTCCATCAGCATTCCATTCATCAACCCAACTGCATCAAATTCAGCTCCTCCTCTAGTCGTGTGGCTCATCTACCCAAATATCACAACCAAGTTTCCTGTCCTTTTCCATCCAATTCATCCTTACAAGGATAAAAGTACAAAACATATGAAACCAAATCTGACTTTATAGGACCCTGCTGGTACAAATGATGAAAAATGCTGCTCCAACCCTGAAACTCAACCTCAAAAAACTAGAACCCATAGGCATACTCTAAAGTGGAAGGCCTAATCTATAATTAAACCACAAATAGTCCTTTTTTTGATCTTCTATCATGTTGGTGTTAATTTGAAGGCTAAAAGTGTAATTTCATAATGATAATATATCTTTTATGTCATACACAATTCCAAAGGTTGTTTAGTTTGCGTCGTTTGTGAATTACAGTCTCTTTTTACGACAACTATAGTCTACAAATGTGATCTTTCGTCAGAATCCTAGCCCACAATCATAGTCATTATTTTTGTGTTATCTGCTTAACCAATATCAGAACACGTCACTAGACATAATATTGACGTCAAATTATATTTTTAGCCTTTAAATTAACACCAACACGGCAGAAGATCAAAAAAAGGACCATTTGTGGAAAGGTACCCTTAAAAAAAGGACTACGGGGGTAATATTTGATAATAGAGGACTAAATATGGAAACCCACCTGTTATAAAGGACCAATTATGGAATTTACTCATAAAACTAAATCAAAACCAAGGGCTTGTTGTTTTGTTTTCCTGGATGCATTAAAATAAAAAAGAGTAAAACTTAACCAATTGTAGCTTGTGACTTTTCAACCTGCTCTGCCTGCTCCCCTATTAGAAATTCTGCCACAAGCCTTTCATCGGCTTTGGAACACGAAATGAATGCCGGGTATTTAGAATCTTCAAATTGAACAATCGTCACTTTTTCCATGCTTTTCACCGTCTCTCGTGTTCTCTTAGTGTTTTACCCGCCATGTTTTGAAAAAGTCCCATTTTCAGTTTATCCAGTAGTGATGTTTTCGCCAAAGCCTCTAGAACCTGTCTTTCCACTGCCCTGAAGATTGTTTCGAAATAGGCCTCAAAAGCTGGTTGAAATAACATTTGGATCTTCTTCTCTTCATCTTCCGCTTCCTTAGTCTCTTCACACCCAACATTTAACCCCTGGTCTGTGAGACTATGCATTTTAGAACCCTGCATAATATCTTAGCTTGTTCCAGTAGAATTGAGGAAATGGAAGGTAACCTCAATTGTTCATCCTCTACACTCACCTCCCGAATCATTTGATCTGTTAAATCTATAGAGGCGGAAGATTCTGCTCTCCCGGGAGCATATAATACCTTTTCTGTTGATACATTCCCTTCTTGAATCTTTAAGGCTTCATTTAGTGCTTTTACAAAAAGCCTAATGCCATTTGAGTTCCTTCCAATTGGGATTCAAATAGAAGAGATCTCCCTTTCGGTTCTTGCACTAATTCTAACGAAACATCCAAAATCATTTTGCAGTTGCAGTCCCTTCAAATTTTGAAATCACCCATCCCTCTCTAGCCAATGGTGGGTGGCTTAGGGATTCGGATAGCAAAAGAGCAATAGATTGGGAGATTGAAAGAAATCTAGACCTACCATACTTGGATTCAGAAATAATAAGGTTTCCTGAGACCTGGAATTTGAATACCTTGCTTTCAATCGAAATTGAGACTCCGGAATCGCTTTTAAAAGGTCCTTGGTAACGATTTGATCTTTCTCCGAACCCATTTCTGAACCGCCATCTTGATCTGTTGTTCTTTGAATCATCCCTCCATCCTGGCGTTTGAGTTCTTCTTGCTTGAAATCTCCAATTATGATGAAGCGTTTTCTGGTAATCATGATCACCCTCTTTGAAATATTCGGCGTTGTCAACGTCACCGCCGATGATATCTCCCCTTTCTCTCTAGAAACCCCATATATATATATATATATATATATATATAGGGGTTGGTTCCAATAAGAATGAGTCTCAATGAAAGAAATAAGAATAACATTATTGTCCATCGTGTGGTTGAGATACAATTATAGAGTCTTGTGTGTAATAGGAAAGTAATAATTACGGTGTAATTAAAAATCTTGATAATCTCGTACAAGGGCAAAAAGGGAACGGAAATTGGCATAAAAATCGAAAAATTAGCAGGGATCTTTTATATCCCATTTATTACGGAGCATGCCCAGAATAGAACTCCTCACTTCCCGATACATCTCCAGGCGCTGCACTCTGTAAGTATTTGGTTTGAGAGAAGTTCAAATTTGAATTAAATTTCACGATGCTAATCTCATAGAAGACGCTTTGAGAGTTCAAAATTTATCGATATCCGAGTACACTGGTGGTTGCCTTGATATTTCTTCAATTGGTCAAGAAATCTTATTGGAGAAGAAGATAATCATGGAAGAGAAATAAAAATTCCGCCTCTGCTTGATGATGATGAAAATGCAGAGAGATGCATCGATGATGCACTGTCTTTAGGTATGTTGACTTTTTTTGTTGCAAAAGTTTGATTATTTTTTGAACGGATGGTCCATACACAATTTATTTCGTTTTGTTTTTCAGATTTCATCACCAACAATTTTGTTTTGGATGCAATTTGAATTTGGGGATTTTAGGAGGATGCAATTACAGAGTTTTTTGAGCTGAGATTTTAGGGTTTCATGGTGTGTAGCTGCATTAGGCGAAAATGCAGTGCAGGGTAGTTTTGAATTCACTGTTGTTGCAGATGTCATTTATGATGTGGATGGGTTATTTAGTAAAAGTAAAAAAGCATCATTGTTGGAATAAAAATTCATGGGAGATATATATAATTGTTAGTAATGCAAAGTGCCAAACTTGGGGTGCACTATAGTATTTAAATGATGGGATGCACTTTAATTTAATAAGAATGTAATGCTTTATGGTTTGAAGGTGAATGTGTGATGACTTCAAATGGAATTTGTGTTGGATTATTTTAGTTTTTTCTAAATGTGCATTCCATGAAAATGTGTTAATGGTTTTATAATACTCCGTAATATGCAGCGTGACATGCTAGTCACGCATTTGAGGAGGAGAGGGATGCACAACAAAGGTGGAAATGTGATATTGCAAAGCATTAGACGTCTAGCATTATCCTGGAGAGTTGCAATGAGAATACACAATTAGGTACTCGCTACCATGAGACATACATGAGACAAGGTTTGAAAATCTAGAATTGTGTGATGATGAAGGAAGACATGGTGATGTTTGCTCTGTGAACCAAGTATATCTCTACGGTTGTTGAGGAGAAAGTAGACAAAATGAAGGATTTGAATATAAAAATGCAATAGAGTATGGTCAAGATGATGGAATTATGACAAAAATGACAAATATTGATAGTCTTTAGTTGGTTGTTTTTTATATTATATCTCATCTTAGATATGTAGTAGTAGTGGAGTGGATTATGGATATAGTTGGATGTCATAACCATTTTTTATAGTTTTGCCGTGTTCAAACTAAATGCATGACATTGGGAGATTAAATGCATCACTCTGCTGAGGATGCACTTCTGCTTAAAGTTTATCCTTCCTATTCATTTCTTTCAAGTGAACACAATTAGAAATAAACGGGTTTCTTTTGAGCGCTAATTAGAACACGCTTGTGGTGTAGTGTGGGATGGTAGTTGTAATCCGGAACAAATACTATGGTTTTGTGATATGTAGCAGGCCATTTTAATCCAGCTCACGATTTCATAAACTAGCTTCATGTTGATACAGAGTATTTATTAATCTTACCAAGATGCTGAGATGCCTAGCATAATGTTGGTGCAAAAAACGTTTGGCAATGCTCAATGTCCAGTAAAAACATTAGCCATCATGGCGTGAAAGTGGTAAACATTTTTGATATGGGAATGTATGTATGAATGAATCACTATTGTTTCGAGATGTAGGGAAAATACATTTTTAAAATATATAGATTCATCATATTTATGCCATGATAATTTCATCAGATAGATGAATTTCACTACGATTATGAGAATGCATTGTCTTCTCATATAATTGCATTACCTGGATATTGATAATGCATAATAACAAAAACTCAAACATACCTTGTTCATTAAACTTTAAAAACAAGAAATTATATGTTATAAGATTATGTGAATATGCACTCAGGCATATTATTTATGCATTCATGCTAAAAAAGAGAGTCAACCCATGAATAAAGTGAATACAGAGTTGGTAGTATAGTGTGGTAACAACAACCCAAAGTGCATTACAAGACAATAAAAATGACATATCCAGGAAAAAAATACACCCCCAAACTTATCAAGCATCCCATGCTTAGGGGAATTGAGCCTGCAAATAAACGCCATAATCATATTAAGAGACTAGTCGGCTTTGCTCCTTCAAACCTCCAACACGCAAATTAAAGTAGTCCCAATAATAGCAAACCAGTTTAGGGTACTGCATGACCACGAAAACAAGTTGCAAAGCTCCAAAAACTAGTGGGGTTTCCTCCAAGCACTACATACCACTGTCAATAACAGCTGCACATGAGCTAAGACCAGTGGCAAGTAAACCTCCCAGTGAGGACAATTACAGTCGTTTGTGAATTACAGTCGCTTTTTACGACAACTATAGTCTACAAATGTGATCTTTCGTCAGAATCCTAGCCCACAATCATAGTCATTATTTTTGTGTTATCTGCTTAACCAATATCAGAACACGTCACTAGACATAATATTGACGTCAAATTATATTTTTAGCCTTTAAATTAACACCAACACGGCAGAAGATCAAAAAAGGACCATTTGTGGAAAGCACTACAAAAAACTTGACATTTTGTGGCACTAAATTTTGCCACAAAACATAAAAAATTAGCCACAATAGTTATTTGTAGCAATTTTGGAATTTGCCACAAGGTTGCCACAGATACCCCGTTACAAAAGGTATTTGTGGCAAATTTAAATTTGCCACAAAAATTATAATTTTTGTGGCAAATTATGATTTGCCACTAATAAAAATTTGCCACAAAAGGTCATGTTTAGTGGCATATTTTAGTTGCCACAATTTATTATTTGCTACAAAAAGTCATATTTAGTAGCAAATTTATGATGCCACAAATTATACTTTGCCACAAAAATTCATGTTTAGTAGCAAATATTAATTGCTACAATTATCACTTTTTTGTGGCAAACCTAATATTGATGAGAATTAAATGATTATTATTATTATTATTATTATTATTATTATTATTATTATTATTATTATTATTATTATTACTCCTACTACTACTACTATTATTATTATTATAAATAGTAGTATTTGTATTGTACATACGTTTTACATATAATATTATATGCGAAGTGATGTAAAATAATAATAATAATAATAATAATAACAAAACATATATGCTACTCATAATTCAATCCCAAACGATCAAAGGTTCACAATTGTTAATATAATAGGGTTTTGACATAAAATAAATATAGTAATAAACATGACAAAAGTATCCTAAACACTTAACATCTAAGCTTCATCTTTTCATTTCATCTTGTCACATCTATCTCGATTGTAATTCCACCGAAAGTAAAAACGGAATGGTATCTCTCATATTGATTCTTGATCTGCAAATTAAAAAATAAAATTAATAAAGAAATAATCTAGTTAATCTAGTTAATGACCAGAGCAAGCATGGCACGTATAAAACAAATTAAAGTGATTAAAATGACCATAGCACGTATTGATTTTATTCTTCAAATTATAGTGTATAAAGCAACCATAGCACATATTGAAACCATTCTTCAAATTAGATAGTGTTTGGACCCCCTAAAGAGTGTAGAGAAGTTACAATTGTCCCTACCAATGGCACTATACCTACTGTACCTACCCTCCTATATGGACAATAGATATTAAAAATATTGAGGACTTGGAGGGCATACACACTACCATGCCTATTAAGGATGAAGATATGTGTGCTGCCACAACCTCTCCAACTATTAACCAATTTGGTCCCTTAACTAAACATTTGGATCCAGACACTCCTCGTGTTTGTTTAAAAACTGAAGCTGCTGTTGATTCCTCTACCCCCAAAATAACTAGGCAGCCAGTATACAACTTTAAGGGTAACCACACGAAAAACAACCATAAGTGTTCACATACAAGTTCAAGGGTAACCACCCCTGAATAGCTAGGCAGCCACAAAGTGAAGCAAACTGTACAAAGTGATTCACTAAAAAATGAGAGCATCTAATTAAGTGGGAAGCTAATGAGAAGAAAAACAAATGTAAAGGGGACTATGCCTAGCCACGACATGCAAGTGTAGGTTATTGCTTTTTTATGAAACATGGTATCACATCACCCACCCCATTTAGAATATTTAGATATACTCCGGGGTATTAACTTGTTACCATAAAGGGCTTATTTTACCCTCATGTTTTTCTACATATTGACATATTTAGATGGATCGATCAATCATGTTTCTTCTTTTTGTGATTGGGCCGCCTGTCCAGCACGTATTATCTTTGGGAAATTTACAAAAGAGTTAAATTACACTAATAATAAATATTTCATAGATGAATCAGTACCTTGTATCATTCGAGGTGGCTATGATCCTTAATGAGCCTTAGACCAAGAGATGAACAACGAAAATCAGCGTTCTCCAACTCTCATGTGGCATTCTCAATATCAAGGCCATTCCACTTCACAAGCCACTCGTGTTTACATTCTAAATCATTGTCAACATCAAGATCTTTGTTTTTCCTATGCAGCTTGGAAAAAGATAATAACCTTTTCTTCAGTAAACATTGAGGTATTGTCCATTCCGAGTTCCAACTAACACCCTAAATGATTCAAAAATAAGTGCCAGTAGTAAGGGTATCCAACAATTTAAAGTACAGGTGTTTGTGTTCCAAATAAATTACTCTATCAGTCAAATTTACAGGTGTCAATTGCTTTTGCACAAATATTTAAGAAATAAGTACTAAGTAGTATATAGTATGTGATCAAATTTTCAATTTTACTCTCTAAAAAGCTGTAACCTTAATAAAAGTTGGCATTTATATCAATATGTCAAATCACGAGAGGAAGAATTGGAAAACATATAATGCTTATGGATTTAAAAGTGAAAGTGGAGAACAAAATTGTGAGACTGACTAAAGTAGCAAGCGGGGTTTATTATGAGGCGGAAGGAGTATTATAATAATGTGAACAAGAATGAAACTGACATGATTTTTGTGTTTAAAGTCTGCGATAATGGATGGCACTTCAATAAGCAATGCTTCTTCTGGAAGCCAGTCGTTGTGAACATGGGCAAGACCTTGATACTTGACAAGATACTGTTTCTGCCTTTGCGTTCCGAACATAATGTTAAAGAAGACATGAACAAAATCTCAGCTATTAGGAGAAAATAATAAGCATTAGAAGTCAATTTACATATCTGTGTTTCCAAAAAAATAGTTTAATGACACAGGTCTATCAAACCTTTGGGACCTGATACTCCCACTTCTCTAGCATCACATATCAACTCTATTCCCTTTTACACTGAGTGAACACCATATTCTATCTTTTTCTTCACACAACAGAGACAATGCCAGACTCCAGATGGAACACCATCCAAAGGAGGACCTAAACAAAAGAGATAGTAACATCTCCTACAACCTTTACCATAACATATCCTGAAAAGTAGACCAATCCACACTTTAATAAAGGTGGGTACACAAATATGCAATAATAAGAAAAAAAGAAGTAAACCCGTATGCATCTAGCATGCCATTGTTAACCCCTGAAAACTAGACACCTATGCATCTAGCATGCCATTGTTAACCCCTGAAAACTAGTCTTACTGAACACAAGAGATTACACACAGGCTTTTTCCATCTTGCTTGCACAAATCACAAATGTTTTCATGATTATCCTCGTGAGAACTTATGTTTGCACCTTTGCACCCTGCTTCAACGCCCATTTTATCCTATACAATGCATCAACAATAAAAGCATCAATACGTTGATTTCATGCTAACAATCTCAAAGATTTATTATATAATATGTCATGAAATTATGAAACATATTAAAATAACAACAACAGAAGAAACTAGACTACCAAGTAATCTCCACCTACAAATTGAAAAAACGAACTGTAGTGCTCTACTAACAAAACCAAATCGTTTCCGCTGCATAAAAAATGCATTAATCTTTTGAGAAATAAGCAGATGTGTAGCTTTTTCACATTTTTCTTTTTTTATATCTTCTCGAATTGAACACATCAGATGGCACCATAAACCAACCTTACAAAAAGTTTCATTACCAGCATTCTTCTTTGAAACAAAACCACACGTGCAGAGCTCAACGTACATTTGGGAAATCATGATCAAGACTGCAAATCCAAAACAAATTGAGAGATAAAACAAGCCGTCTTTAAAGTCTTGCAGCAAAATCAGGTAAATAATACACATAAGCAATAACATACGTAAGTGAATAAAAAATCAAATCACAAAAGCAGACACCATGAGGGAAAAAATGTCTCCCATGATACATACGCCTCTTTCATTTCTCCTCGTTCTAAAATTCCATGCTCGATCTAGTCAATTTTTATTGTCTAAACTATGGTCGATGGATGGAGTGTTAAGTGTTTAGTATATCAGTGGTTATTTTTCAGACATAATAAAAATTACCTTTTTTGTTTGAAACATGCACCACATGAGTATAAATTATCTACTAGTAGTTGTTTTCTGTATAATTATGCACCACAGGAATATGGTTGATGGTTATAAAAATTACCTTTTTTGTTTCAGACATAATAAAAATTACCTTTTTTGTTTCTATTACGGAGTATAAATTATCTACTAGTAGTTGTTTTCTGTATAATCATCAAATATTTAATTCTATATCAGTAAAATAAGTTTAAATAGCTTGAGTGAAGTCTAGTCCAATATTTTCTTATAATTGTAGTCTACAGCTAGACAATTGTCTTAGAGCAGCACATTATTCTCTATTTCTCTATAATCTCTAAATCTCCATTGTTGTGTGCCCGTGTTCTAACAATAATTTATTACTGTGTCTGGCATGGTGTTTTAAGAAATGAAATGCTATTCTGTTCCATACAAAGATTCCACCTTTTAGTTTTAGTTAACTTTTTTATAGGAAAATAGGAGCATAACATTTCACTAGTGTATCTGGCATAACATAACAAGCAATATGGTCTGTGACAATGGGATCATAGCATAACATTAAGACCAGACATTGATTCCAATAAATCTTGAATCATTCATGATTAACCATGGACTGAGATTATGGCTATGAAAAAACAAGTAGAAGAAGAACAAGAGGGAGGAATTTTGATTCAAAAATAAAAACACCTCTAGGATATTCACTCTTATTGAACAAAAAACATTTCTTAAACTATGGAAATTTTAAACCAAAATTCACTGAGATTATGACTATGAAAAAACAATTAGAGGAAGAACAAGGATGGATACTGATTAAAACTCAAAATCCTTATAGGATATTCACTCTTATAGAAAAAAAATTCTTGAATAATTGAAATTTAAAATCAAGATTCAACTATGAAGAGTGAACATCTCTGAATTCATATTTCTTAAACAACGAGAATTTATACTAAAACACAAACAAAAACTTGAATATTTTTAAGAATAAATACCTAGCTCCGGACTTTGGGTGTGTCGTCGTTCCAGAATCGAAGAAACTAGCGTGTCCAAATTGAAGTATAGGCTATTGCGCTGTAGCAATTGAAATATTCTCCGTATATATATTACAATCGTCTCTCGCTTCTGGGCATGAAATCGCTTTGGCTTTGGGAGACGATAGACATACTTACACGCGCAGACCTAAATTATGGAGGGATTGATATTTCACTATTTGGGTTAGGCGGGATTTGGGAAATAACTTCCGTAAATTTGTATAAATTAATTCATTTAATATTTTCCCTCCACACTAATTTAGATTTAGTGGCATATTTATAAAATTGCTACAATAAGTATACTATTTTGTGGCAAATTTTGAATTGCCACAAATATTTATAGACTATTCATATATTGTGGCAAATTTTAACTTTGCTACTAAATGTTAGCCACAAAAAGTCATTTTTTTTGTAGTGAAGGTACCTTTAAAAAAAGGACTACGGGGGTAATATTTGATAATAGAGGACTAAATATGGAAATCCACCTGTTATAAAGGACCAATTATGGAATTTACTCATAAAACTAAATCAAAACCAAGGGCTTGTTGTTTTGTTTTCCTGGATGCATTAAATTAAAAAAGAGTAAAACTTAACCAATTGTAGCTTGTGACTTTTCAACATGCTCTGCCTGCTCCCCTATTAGAAATTCTGCCACAAGCCTTTCATCGGCTTTGGAACACGAAATGAATGCCGGGTATTTAGAATCTTCAAATTGAACAATCGTCACTTTTTCCATGCTTTTCACCGTCTCTCGTGTTCTCTTAGTGTTTTACCCGCCATGTTTTGAAAAAGTCCCATGCTAAGACCAGTGGCAAGTAAACCTGCCAGTGAGGACAACTAGTTGTAACAAGAACAACCTCAACAAACCTGGTACAAGCCTCAAAGCTATTCATGAGTCTTCATTCCATGAAGTTTCCTCCAAAGAACCAACATAGCGTAGTAGAAGCAAGACTGAACTCGCGAGGAGATGAAGACAAACACAAGCCAAGGCACACCAGAGACAAGTAGGAATGTCCATCAACTTCAAATCCAAATGTTCCAACTCCAAGAGTTAGAGTACTCAACCAGCTCCTCCAAACAAAAACAACAACTTCCTGGGGAATCAACATGATCTCGAACCACATATTCAAACCCAAGAAAAAGCAACTAAATTATTGGAAAAGGCTAGCAGCAAACGAGACCTCAAACTAGCCTCCACTGGACACTAGTTTGAGAGATTAGCATCAACCCCAAACCGTCCCAAATCAAGCATTCAAAGGCCTTGTTATCATGTCTTGATCACTATGAAAAAGCCTTTACATTGACAGCGAAGGACAAGTCCAAACAAGGAACACAAACAAGAAGGACAACAGCACCCCAGGGAATCAACATGAAAGACTGCCACGGATAACCCAGGGGGATGCCAACGAAACTAGAAAATGTCAACTATTAACCTCCAACTTATTCAAAGAAGCCATAAAGCAAGGCACAATGACCCAGCAAAAGCAAGCAGTGCAGTAGTGAAGGACATGAACAGTACCACGATTTCAAGAATTTAAAGAAATGAAAAATCTTTGTTAAATGAAAAATTCAACAATGGTAGCCGCAAGTCCACAGAAAACCAACCAAAAACCTCAAAAAAATTGGAGCAAAACAAGCAAAAACCTTGTGAAATATCGACTCTAACCCCTTGCTGTGAACAGTGTAAGGGAATCTAAATTCTATCTCAATTCAAAGGATTATTCAAACGAAAATGACTTCCAACCTCAGACCTTGAAAGAGTAGCACAAGTTGCTCATAATCCCCCACAAATTAGACTTCAATTGAGCTTGAATTGAGGTTGATTCAAACCTTCAAATTCGAAGATGAACAGTAACTGAGAGAGGTTAACCTTCGATTCATGCCCAGTCCGGCCCCAAGAGCAGCGAATTGAACTCCAAAAAGGAAGCCTATGTTGAAGTCGGTTCCAGAGCTCCAAAACTATCGAGAATCGAGATACAAATCAAGAAGGAATTGCAAGGTGAAGGTCGGGTATGAATAGCGTTACAAGAACACTTCCCAGACGCAACTCCTAGAGAGAGAAACCATTGCTTCTATTATGATGAGGGGATCTAAACATTGAAGGTGGCATGTGTAGATAAGGAAAACTGTGAACGAAATGAGAGAAGATGGTGCACTGATTTTGGGGAGAAGAAGAGCAGTTGATAAGGCAAGAACGAAATTGGGATGAAAAATCGAAAATGCCCTTGGGATAAGTGGGGAAGAGAATTGCTGGAGATCAAGATCCGAGGGTTATTATTCATTCTTATTTCTTTCATTAGATTTTATTCTTATTTGAACCAAACTCTATATATATATATATATATATATATATATATATATATATATATATATATATATATATATATATTGTTTTTTTTATTTTTTTTAATGAACGGTCGGTTACAAGCAGGGGGCCCGAGGCCCGTTAACCTCGTGACTACCCCGGGGCCCATTAACACCCGAGGTAGATAGCCCACTATAGAAAGCCCAAAGTAAGCCCAATCTAAAGGCCAGCCCCATAAGCCCAAATCTACTTCCCAGGGGGTCACCCATCATTTCTGCTACTCCCATGCCAGTACGCTTAACTCTTTAAAATTCCTCCAAATTTGCACCTTTTATATATATATATATATATACACACACACACACACACACACACACACACATATATATATA